TTTGCAGCAGGTCTGCGCACAAGCGTGCGTTCGAGTCTGACGCAACAGCAGCACAGCGCAGCACTCGAGTAATAAACTGGAAGTCAGTGGGCTCGGGTATGTGGATAATGCATCTGAATTTATACCAAGTAATTACGGTGAACTGGGTATGATTTGTGCCGCATCGTTTTCATTCTATCCCCCTACCAGTGTTCATGCGAATGGACACCAAAATGTGTATCAGTCTGAGCTTTCGGCTTCGTACAGGAGGCCATCGTCAGAGAGAGCAGCATTGCCAGTGGCATGTTTTTGTAGTCCATCTACGAGGAAACGGGGGTACGGGGGGTAACATTCGTGATTGGTTGAGTCCACGCTCATGTTGTCACCCGTATAGTCTCAGCCTGCGTCCTTGGCGTACGGCCTCCTTAGGAAGCCGAAAGCTCAGGCTACTACAAGTACGATCCCAGTGATCGCGTCTTTGTCTTCCTTACAACACTAGCCTGGGACAGGCATATTCGCTTCTATTCGTGAGGCAGCAAAGTGCTGGGCTGCCTGCTAAGGGTGGATTACATCTGAGAGATTGAGGAACAATAATGAGACTTAGTCTAGTAGCCATACTCAACCTGCTGACATAGGACAGTTTCTATAAAGACACGCAAGATGTAACTTGGATGTCCAACAGAAAATGCCAGCAGAGTCTGCAATTGGACAGTGTGTGCGAATTTTAAAAAACGTTTACGAACACCAAATGCTAGCCCTCCATCATGTATAAAATCTGTGCTAGGAGTGGTTTAGAAGTCACATTTGCCCTTGACTTATGACAATAACCTACGTTTACATTTTCAGCAACCGGGCTTTCCCTTTTTGCTAAAATCCGTCAATATAAGGTCGATTTCCTCTTCCTCCTTAAATTCCACCAATAAAAGGTTAAATTTCCATCAGTAGGCATCAGTTGCCTGAACAACAGGAGTTTATGTTGATAGAGTTCATTCTTTTTAGCAAATTGAGACAAATATGACTTTCATTTAATATTTTTGATCACCTCCACCACATTTAAATACATTCATTTACACTCACTAACAAAGAATCAAATTTTTTGCCACAAATTACGAAAGACAGTTGGGCGGGGGGAATACATATTCAGGCGGCCCTACAGGACAGTTTTGTTACATCTGCAAATGTACTTTCTTACAAAAAAGTATGGGCAAGTTGCACTTCATGATTTTTTTAATACGTCTGGGTCCAGAAGAACGGCTCAACTCAGTGAGAAAAAAACGAAATATTCGTTAAGTAGCCATTTTGTTTGGTGAGATCTTCGTAGGTAGACGGAAGAAAAAAAATTAAAACGCCAGAGCCTGTATCCTGACGTAACCGAAGCAATTTTCGCGTCATGTTGCAGACTAATCAATTTATAGCCCTTTCCAGTAAGTAAGGATGTCAAAACAAAATCCCATTGCAATTATCCACGAGCTGGGTCACTCGCCATACTAGAAGGGGCAGCAAACGAACGGACGACCTTCTTTGATAGCTTCTAA